GGAGATCAAAAGATGTGGCTTTCACATGTTATGTGAACTTTATAAGTATATAAAAAGGCATTTCATATTATTTATGGGCTCAAAATTTAATATACAATATTGTTGTGATTGGTGTTCTATGTTAAGGTTCATTAAAAGCTAAAAATTCTTTTTTAAATCATTAAAACACAAACATGGTCAAATAAGAATCAATCACATCATAATGTAAAATTGACATATTAATGGTCCATTAGTAAGGTACAATTGATATAAATTTAATGTGTGTTGATGTCACTCGTCTTATCAATATTTAAGTAATGTATCGAGTATTTATGAGTTGAGATTTGTCTCGAAATTTTTCTCTCATGGGTTGTACTTTTTTTAGAATATTGAGCGAAAAGTTCACATGTCCATGATTTTATAGTCATATCCCCTTATAATACAGTGAAATCTTTGATCATTTTACTAATTGAATAATTATTTTAAATGTTATATTAATACATCATATTTTTATGTTTTATGATAATGAAGAAGCATTAATATTTAATCACAGTAAATCTTCTTTTGTGTGTACATGTTAAGGCTTTGCATTCTGACAGTTCGACATAGCAACTTGATAGTCTGCTTTAGAGGCATGAAATCTTCATATAACAAATTATGACTATATAAATATTACAATAGAGGTATGTTTGTAAATGTCCCAAAAATTTATCATACCGCAATTGTAATATTTATATTATTGTTGATCTACATATATATATATATATATATATATATATATATATATTTGTGTGCGCGTGTGTGTGTGCTGCCAACCGTGACCTGTTGGTAGAGCACCCTCTTTGAACATTGTAAGTCTCTTCAGGTCAAGTCAGTTTGCCGGTAGTGAGGGCGGTCCTTGAATAGTTTGACACATGAGGGTGGTTGAGGGCTCGTATAAAAGCCTTCGACCATTCTTTATATATAAATAAATATATATATTATTTAGGGTTTGGGGTTGGGGCAAGCACTTGCAATCCCTAATTAATTTTTTAAAATTTAAAAAATAAAATAAATAGAAATTCTAAACATTTTAAGAAATTTTCAAAGTTTAGTATTCTCCACCTCACAGCTCAAGTTGTTGACTCCGCCGCATATATTTATTTGGTTGACCATTGAATTAGAGTTTCATATTCTCTTTAATTATCATACTAATCATCATATGCTATAAATGATTTAATAATTTAATCATTAAATTTAATTTAATTTGGAGGACTAAAGGTCAATATAATAAACTGTTTTCAAATCAATTTAATTTTGATATAAATAATTATTTATTTAATTATGATCATCAAATTGACCTGACATGTGCCATGCATTAATAATCATAATTATGACGCATTAAATATGATTATGTCAAGTACCACCAACCCACTTAACCAAACCTTGCCAACTTCTAGGTGGATAATCAAATAATAATAATAATAATAATAATAATAATAATAATAATATTTATTATTATTATTATTTCTCTAAGCCAACCTGACCATTATTTTATCTTAAAGTCACACATTTGGCTTTAAGGATGAGGTACTAGAATTATTAGGCACATTAGGGGTAGCTGGAGGCTCGTATAATAGCTTATGATCATCCCTTTTAGAATATATATACATATATTGTTGTGCCGCGTAGCTCAGCCTGTTGGTTGGCATCCTCGATTTAAGACGTCTCAGGTCTGGGGTTCGAATCCGCTCTAGCGCAGTTGGCCTTGAAGAGGTGGCACTCGAATTAATTGACACATTAGGGGTGGCATTCCAATAAATTTCAAGAAAGATGTACACACATACCACTTAACTTTTATGTTTTTACATATATAATACCAAAATTTCAATTTTTACATATATATACAACATTTTATTTTTGCATGAAACTTAAAATAGTAATATTTTTTATATGATATGAAAATTTTTGATGATATAAATGTAAAAAATAGTAAAATTCAGGTGTTTGGTAAATACGTAAGATTTTGGTTGGTATGAATGTAAATGCTCCCTAATATTCACTCACCATCAATATCTCAAATTTGAGTCACAGTGAATTAGCTAAAGCTTCCCAACTGTAGGCTTGACCATAGTTAGTGATTTTCCAAGAGACCATTTGTCGAGTTAGTTGACTCGTGGGTTGAGTATTTAACCAACCCACTACTTGCACAAATTTAGTTGCCCACTTTTGTGGGCCACATGTTGAAATTTAAGTTCTAGCGGGTCCCATGCTAATGATTAATTGAGAATATGTTTGCAACTCATTATTTTTTCGGGGGCATTTACATACATACCACCTAATTCTTATGTATTCACATATCTATCACTTAAAATTTACTTACATACCACCCAATTCTTATGTATTCACATATCTAGCACTTAAACCTTATTTTTTTACATTTATATCATCTAAATCTTTCATATCAAATCAAAAAGATTATTATATTTACTTTTTAATAGTGAAATACACCTTCTCATACATAAGTAATGCGGCATATATGTCAAAATTGAATTTTAGGTGTATGAATTGAGGGAATTTACGTACTTACCACTCAATTCTTATGTATTTACATATCTAGCATTTAAACTTTATCTTTTTACGTTTATATTATCCAAATCTTTCATATCACATAAAAAATATCATTATGTTAACTTGTTTAATAATGAAATATACCTTCTCATGTATATGTAACGCAACATATATATAAAAATTGAATTTTAGGTGTTGAATATGTAAATACATATGAATTGAGTGGTATATAGGTTAAATGTTCTTTTTTGTTCTTTCCCACAACCTTTTTGGGAGGTGTGAACGTCTCATTCCCCAACTACTATCCTATCAATGGGACAAAATCTAGTTGCTATGTATTGAAGTTATGGAAGATTTACATACATACCACTCAAGCCTTTTGTATTTACACATCTAATACCTAAAATTAATTTTTTATTTTCAGTTTTAAAAAGTTAAAATGGTGATTTATGAATGATTTTGGTGGTATAGATGTAAAAATCAAAATTTTGGTATAAGGAGATCATGAGGCCACATGACCGAACAAATAAAGCCATGCGAGCCCAGTCAGTTAGGCCAAAACCGCTCGAGTCACGAGATGAACAAGAATACGACAAGATGATCCAAGCACAAGCCACCGACCGGAAACAAGACAATAGAGCTTCTGAGTCATCCACTGCAAGAAAACTGGCTTGATGCAATTAGGGCTGTCAAAACGGCTCGTTGTTCGCGAACAACTCGTGTTCGGCTCATTCTCTAAGTTAACGAGCCGAACACGAACAACACAAACAAATATTTGTTCGTTCGTGTTCAGCTCGTTTTGGCTCGAAATACCACTAATCAATTATGTATATATCTTTGATGAGTAGTATTTTTTAAAAATTTAATTGACTACAAGACTATAAAGATTTATAATCAATTAAAAGTATTAATGAAGAAAATATAATAAAAATTATTAAATTAGATTCAAATGATTTTTTAAATCTTGCCCCAATTCTTAATATCTTATGACTACGTATTTAGGGTTGTCAAAATGACTTTTTGTTCGTGAACGGCTCGTGTTCGGCTTGTTTGGCTTGCTAAACAAACGAACCGAACACGAACACACTTTTTGAGCTCAAAATATAAATGAGCCGAACACGCAGGCTTTGCTCGTGTTCGGCTCGTTTACACCCCTAGATGCAATAGTCTATCCCTTAGTAGAGCTGAACCAAAGGAAGATCCAGTTCCACAAAATATCTCATACCATCCTGCAGAGATCCTAAAGACTCCTCACTAGAGATGAAGATAGACAACTAGGATGTGTCAGCCGATCGAGCCATACTGATCAAGTTCAGTTGACTGAGCTGACCTTGTTACTCAGTCGAGCCAGAAGATCAGACACTATTGAACAATATTCATTACTGCTCATCTCTCTCTTTATTTACGTTCTATTCTTTGGGTGTGATTTACGGACAATCTCAAATTCAACAATAGAATTTAATAAATTTGTTAACATTATCATACATAGATAAGCTTGCACATTGATCGGTTTAAATAGAAAAATTGAAAAGATCCAAGCACATTTGTTTAGTTGATTTGTTTTGGTTGATGAAATTATGACTCAATTTCAAGTTTCAATTTAAAGGTTATTTAAATTTTGGTTATTAGTTAAAAATATCAATTAAATAAAAAAATTAAATTATATTACAAGTAAAATAATCCATCGACCAATTAATTTAACAAATTCATCGGCAAATCAACCTAAATATACCCAATGCACATATCTTCATAAGCATTTTAAAATTTGGCTAAATACATACTGAATCAAATAAATTGAATTATATTTCAATTTGATTTGATTCAATTCGTTCTATCTCTCATTTGACTTGTTTTAACTAATTTGATAAATTTCGAACAACCTGATAAAATCGAGTGTTTACACAGCCCTAAATTCATGTAGCCCCATATTGTCATGATCCCCAACAGAAGAATTCCTTGAACTTCAGTGACAAGTGACTATCAACCCATTCCGCTACATCACAACATTATTACATTTGAAGATTGTACGTTCGGATGACGTTCCAGATCGATAGACCATCAAACAATCCACAATGGTGTGGTTGATCAAACTCAAACTAAATCACACTCCATGGTCTAGAAGAGTTTTATTCGGATTAATTTCCTCCTTTCAGTGAAAAATTATGTCCGAACAGCCAACCAACGGTGATAATTAGCTGATGGAATATTTTTGTTTGGTTTTCGGGAGGAGTTTTCCCTTAATGTGTTATAGTCTTCGGATATCCTGTGCACACACTGAGAAATATCTGTCAATACTTCCCAATCATTCTTGCTAATTTGCTAGAACCCAACGGCTATATTTTTTCTGAAGCTTTTCTTCTCCTTTTGCAGACAGCTAACGTGAATGAGAACCCAGAAGGGTTTTCCACTTCTTTAAAAGTTCTTCTTCCCCATCGCCCGTTAATCTCGCAGAGATCATATCCAAACAGTGTGGCGTAATCTCATAAAAATCCAAGTTTTTTTAGTATAAAAGTCTCGCCTTTCTTCGCATTTATTTTTTCTCTGGGGTAGGCCCCCCTTGTTTCTCCGCGTCTTCTTTTCCCTACTTCTCCCCTTTCCACCATCTTAATCCCCAGTAATTCCTCCGGCGCCGGCGATGGGCTGCGCCTCGTCGAAGAAAGCGGTGTCGGTAACGCCGGCGCTGGATTCATCTGGCATTCTTAGGGTTCAACGAGGATCTGTTGTGGTGTTGGAGAACTCTTTGCGGCAGGAAGAAAGGAAGGTTGAGGAGCCTTCGGAATCAGAGAAGGCGAGTTTGAAGCGCATCGGCTCTGTGAGTCTTCGATTGGGTAATCTTCACAAGTACATTGAAGGGGAGTTAGTGGCCGCGGGATGGCCGGCGTGGCTCACGGCCGTGGCCGGCGAAGCGATTAGTGGATGGGTTCCTCTCAAAGCTGACAACTTTGAGAAATTGGATAAGGTAATCATGGAGAAAGTAGGGAGAAGAATGAAGAATTCATTATAAATTATGTGCTTTGTCATTCCTTTTTGCTCAGTTTTTTTTTTTAGGAGCGACTTTCTCTTTTGCTCTCAATTAAAATTTGAAACTTCCTCATTTATTTAGATTTGTTTGGTGAATTGGATGACAGAGATGCTAGTCATTTTTCTGTTGTTGGCTGATGCTTTAGGGTTGCTCTCTCTCAGAGAGTTTTGCTGCATCTTTAGCTGCAACTTACTGCATTTTGTTTTGGCTATTGCTGATTTTGGTTGAACAGACCAATTTGTTTGGATATACATTGATGATGGACATACTTAAATATCAATAGGCCATACCGCACGCATTCATCTACTTAATTTAGGAGCATCTAGAAACCTTAAGCCTTTAACTTTATAAAGGATTAAAATCATAGGCTGACTTACATATTATAAGACTTTGGTATAAGCGATAATGAACTAATGATTGTAAAGGAAATACTAGAATGGTAACAAAACAAATGCATCATATACTTGGATTAATCAAAGGGCATTGAGGCAAGCGGTATGCTTCTTAGTTTTTAGGTAGATTTACATACATACTGCTCAATTCTTATGTATGTACCTATTCAACACCTACACGTCAATTTTTACATATATGTCGCTTTAACTATGCATGAAAGGATGTTTTTAACTTTTTAGAAGTTAAAATAGTGGTACTTTTGATATGATATGAAAAATTGGGGTGATATAAATGTTGGAAACAAAATTTAGGTGTTAGATGTGTACGTACATGGGAATGTGTGGTATGCATGTGAATGCCCCTAGTTTTTAATCTAGAGATATTACGTATCAATTCCAACTTACACAACCATTATGAATTTCTTCTGATTCAATATAGATTTAATATATGCAAATGAACTTGTGACTACCTTATAATGTTGAATAAAATTAGGCCATTTGTTTGCCACTGTACAACTTTTGTTTTGCTTTTGCATCCTTTTCTAATGTTTTTTTTTTATTGTTTTTTTCCTTACTTTGCTTTCTTCTGACAAGATTTTATTTCCCCTTGCATTTGAAGATAGGGCAAGGCACCTATAGCACTGTATTCAGAGCACGGGATCTCGAAACAGGAAAAATTGTTGCCCTAAAGAAGGTGCGGTTTGACAATTTTGAGCCTGAGAGTGTTAGATTTATGGCACGAGAAATACAAATACTTCGTCGACTTGACCATCCAAATGTTATGAAGTTGGAGGGGTTGGTTACTTCTCGGATATCATGTAGCATATATTTAGTCTTTGGATACATGGAACATGATCTTGCTGGACTTTCATCATCACCCGACATAAAATTCACTGAAGCACAGGTTAATATTTCTCTAGATAAATTGAATTCTTTTCCCGCATTTGTTCATATTTCACTTTTGGGCAGAATAATATGAGAACTTACATTATTTTTCTATGGCAACTGTAAAAGGGACATGTACATACATATCACACAATTCTTATGTATTTACACACATAAGACTCAATTCTTTAATATCACATCAAAAATAGCATTGTTACCACCTTTTTAAAAGTTAAATGCTCCTTTTCATGCATAGATTTAAAGCAAAAAAATGCTATGTATGTAAAAATGGAAGTTTAAGTGTGAGATAGGATACATAAGAATTGTGTGCAACTTATATAATTTTCCCAATGTAAAATTGTATTGTATTATTCAGGTGAAGTGTTTAATGGAGCAATTGTTATCTGGTCTTGAACATTGTCATTCACGAGGAATCATTCATCGTGATATTAAGGGCGCCAATCTTCTACTTAATGATGAAGGGGTGTTAAAAATTGCTGATTTTGGTCTGGCAAACTTCCTTCAACCTGAAAATAAGCAGCCACTAACAAGCCGTGTGGTTACATTGTGGTACCGTCCGCCCGAGCTTCTCTTAGGCTCTTATGATTATGGAGTATCCGTAGACTTATGGAGTGTTGGTTGCGTATTTGCAGAATTGTTTCTCAAGAAGGCCATACTGCAAGGAAGGACCGAGGTAATTATCTCTCTTTTCTATCTTATTTCTTTACTATATTATCATTGTTTTTTGGGGCATTTACATACAAACCACACAATTCTTATATATCATTACTTCTTCACTACCTTATCATTGTTTTTTGGGGCATTTACATACATACCATACAATTCTTATATATTACATATGTAACACCTAAACATTCATATTTACACGCATGTCAAAAATATTTAAAATCACATAAAAAATATCACCATTACTATATTTTTAAAAGCAAAACACTCCTTTTCATTCATAAGTTTATGACATCGATGTCTTATAAATGTAAATATCAAATTTTGGGTGTTAGATATATAAATACATAAGAATTGTGTGGTATATATATAAATGTCCCTTTTTACCTTTTTTCTTGGTATAAGAGTATGTGCAGCAACCTTAGGCAATGGAAGGGAAATAGATGTTATGAGACATGACTTGTGAAAAAGAACTGCAATTAGGTCCTTGAAAAGCTTTGTTGACCATACCTACATAGGGTTTGTTGTTTGAAGTTAGAAAATATGTTTTAAAAAGTAGTGAGCTTGCTAGTGATACTTCACTATAGTGCCCCTTTTTGGAAAGCGAGTTAGTTTATTTAATGAATAATTTGATACTTGTGAGAAAGAACTGCAATTAGGTCCTTGAAAAGCATTGTTGACCATACCTACTTAGGGTTTGTTGTTTGAAATTATACATTATGTTTTAAAAAGTAGGGAGCTTGCTAGTGATACTTCACTATAGTGCCCCTCTTTGGAAAGCGAGTTAATTTATTTAATGAATAATTTGATACTTGCTCATATAAAGTTCATTAATATCTATTTATTTACATAGTTGAACAAGCTAGAACAACATTTTGAAAGCTCGTCATATAAATAAGTAAAATCTGATGTTGACCTACTTGTTTATTTTATATTCTTAAATATGCTCATTTATTATTTAAGCGGCTTGCAAAAAATTTGATAAATTGCTCATTTAATGATGGCATATTCCATGTTAGTGTATCAATTTTTATGTGTACTTTGCATTGTTTAAATAATGTATATTATTAGACATAAGTATGACAATAGATCAAAAGTGAGGATTTCATCTAATGTATTGATGATGATATGAATTTTCGAGTTAAAGGAGGTGGAAGAGTATTCAACCATGAACTAGAGTAGTTGGTCGGTGGTTGGAGGAGAGAATAGTAAGGTTAAAGGGGAGCATTATGGTTCTGATTCAATATACAAAGAAGAAAATTTGATGTGGAGAGAAATATAAAGTTTTCTAATCATCTACTCAGACATAATTGTACCAATGTATAAATACATGATTGACCAGAAATAGAAAGGTGTACTCACACATTTATTTATTTTATTCAAATTATCTTCTTAATATTGAAAAATGACCACAAAAATATTGACAATGGAATAAGATATTTTTTAATAGCGCTCTGGCTTTCTTCATCTGCTCTTTACTCAAATCCAATCATCTATCTTGAATATTATTTTGATCTCATCCCATTGATTGGCGTAGTGTGAAGTGTAATCAACCTTCCTCCGGCTGAATTGATGTAGATTGAACTCTCTTTATAATAAGCCCTATAAGTGCCTAAATCCTAAATAACATACCTGAACTTGAAAGGAATCTTATATACCTTAGATAAAAGATGCCTAATTCTTACTGGGTCCTTTGAATCGGGGCACCAATTTTTAGGTATTCTCCCCCTCATACATAATTGTACCAATGTATAAGTATATGATTGACCAAAAATAGAAAGGTGTACTCACACATTTATTTATTTTATTCAAATTATCTTCTTAATATTGAAAAATGACCACAGAAATATTGACAATGGAATAAGATATTTTTTAATAGCGCTCTAGCTTTCTTCATCTGCTCTTTACTCAAATCCGATCATCTATCCTGAATATGATTCTCATCTCATCCCATTGATTGGCGTAGTGTAAAGTGTAATCAACCTTCCTCTGGCTGAATTGATGTCGATTGAATTCACTTTATAATGAGCCCTATAAGTGCCTAAATCCTAAATAACATACATGAACCTGAAAGGTATCTTATATACCTTAGATAAAAGATGCCTAATTCTTATTGGGTCCTTTGAATCGGGGCACCAATTTATAGGTATTCTCCCCCTCATTACATCTCATCGTAAATCTATTCATGAGCATCTAGGCTACATCTCGTCTCTACTTGAAGAAACTACTTCGACTGCTCTGGAATGAAGCGGTTTTCGTTAGAAAAAAATTGTATTCCGTCTAATTTCAGGTCTACCTCCCTTCTTTCTCTTTCATGACTCTCTTCTTTACTTTAGTGTGCAGTTTTTATCTCTATATCTCGGTCATCCTTTTCTAAATTGCGATCAGTAACAATATTTTCCTTAGAAAGAAGAAAGGAGTTCTAAGAAGATCTGCTCTGTGAGTCAGTGTCTCGATTCCAAAGCAGCCACCGACGTCTTTTTTGCTTCCATTCCTCTAATAAAAAGAAAAGCATTATATCCTGGCGCTTCCTAAAGGTTGAACTCAAATAAATATTCACTGGAACATTTTTATAGATAGAATTTTCCATGAGCAAATGATAGATGTTGTCAAAGACAATCTTTGAAAAGTTAACTGAACCATGAATAATTTGTATCATGCAAAGTCTGATTTTGTTGTTTGGTTGAATTTTTCTAATTCTAACCGTTTCAAACATTTTCCTTAACTTGAGTTAAAAATCATTGTTTAACTTTTATCTCTACGGCTTTGATTTTAGGTTGAACAACTGCATAAAATATTTAAGCTATGTGGTTCCCCATCTGATGAATATTGGAATAAATCCAAATTGCCGCACTCAACAATTTTCAAACCTCATCATCCTTATGAGAGTCACCTTCAAGAGACTTTTAAAATCTTGCCACAATGTGCCTACAATTTGTTAGAAGTATTTCTATCTGTTGAACCTCAAAAGCGGGGAACTGCGGCATCAGCTCTAGCATCTGAGGTAAAATTATTTTACATTTTTTGCGATTCTACCTGTTCGATTTTATCCTTATACAAATATACCATAATTTTACAAATTGATGTTTTTCTTTACTCCTGTGAAGTACTTCAGAACAAAGCCTGTGGCATGTGAACCTTCAAGTTTGCCAAAATGCCCTCCTACTAAAGAGATTGATGCAAAAATTCGTGAGGGTGCACGCAGGTTAGGATCAACTGTTTGCCTCACAAGAATGACTTTTCTTACCTTTTCAATCAATTTATTTTCAACTAATATCATAGAAAGTAAGCATATGGGTGCTAGCTAGCTGAGTTTATAAAGATTTTAAAGGTTGCTTTTCAAGATCCTTAGATTGGATTCGTTTACATCAAATTTGTTTTGAGAAGTGTCAAAGCTGAGTTTATAAAGATTTTAAAGGTTGCTTTCAAGATCCTTAGATTGGATTCGTTTACATCAAATTTGTTTTGAGAAGTGTCAAAATGGCCCTCTGACTCAATGCGGAGAGTCATTTTAGTCCCATAGTTCGTAAATGTGCTAATTTTGTGCCTATATTGCTTTAATGAGGTTAAAGTAGATCTTTCTGAGGACTATTTTAACCCATATTAAAAGATTATGATGACTTATTTTGCATGTTTATAAACTCTGAGACTAAAATGACCCCATATAAATAATCATGGAACTATTTTGACACTTGGTTTTTTTTTTTGGCCCTCAACTTTTCCTCAAAATTGTACATAGTAGCCATCACAATCCCTAAGACTAAAGTTATATTTTATAATGTTTAGTTTGAGATTAGCTTATAATTAACCATTAATTCAACGATTAATCCTATGAAGACACCATTTAATCTACCTTAATGCTAATTTTTCCTCCATCTTCAAGGAGCATAAACTCTATATGTTCTGAGATTAGATTTATCCCTTCAGGATAGACTGATCCCCTAATCCCAACTTAATCATTCAACGTTATGTCAATATTTATGATTAATAATTTTCTGTAGAGTTATTATAGGCTTGAAACCCAATAGCACTAAATGATCATGTTAAAAAAATATCATTTTTTTAATACCGTTTTTTTTAATGCTTTGTTTGGCGTTACTATTTTTCAGTATGTTATATTGTACTCAATTTCAAGTGAAGCACATGATTTTTCATAAATTTATTTTATAATTTATATTTAAAGCATTCTAAGAATGTGAAACTTTAATAAATAAAGTATTCTGATTCCGATATGAATTAACTTTTAGATTATTAAGTGTCTCTAAATAGTAATTTAAAGCATGCATTTTAGAACTTCTAACTTGAATCAGATATTTACTATCATTTCCTTGTTAATTTTTAAATATGTACCAATTAAACCATTTATGTTGCCTTTTTTAGGAGAAATATTCTAAAAGTCGACGGCAAAGCACGCGCGCCAGATGTGAGAAGGAGACGTTTAAGGGTGCACCATGAAAGAGAACAATCAAGTGGCTTGAATACATTTGCAAACCATCATGAGGTATGCTTACTTCTAACTGGTGCTACGAGTAAATGCTACTCGAAACATTGAATATTCATGCATTGAAGCATACAGACAATATCAAAATTGCACAATAATAACAATTCTTGTGGGTTCAGTCAATAAGTTCTACACGTTAAAAACATGAAATGTTTGCATATCAAATGAATATTATCAAAACTGCATGTTGAACACACTTTAATGATGTTTAAGGATTCGGGCTTGGGGTTTTGGGGAATTTCTACTTATCTTATGGGGCCTTTTAGTAAATTCTATTCTTTGAAACATAGAATGTTTGCACAATTGTATGAAGGATATCAAAACTGCATTCTAAACTTAGCCTAGGAAGATTTACATGCATACCAGCCAATTCCTAAGTATTTTCATATCTAACATCTAAGCTTTTATTTTATATACATGCCACTTTACCTATGCGTGAAAAGATGTATTACCCATTTTAAAAGTTAAAATGATGGTATTTTTTATGTGATGTGAAAGATTTGGGCGGTATAAATGTAAAAAAAAAAATGGAATGTATGTAAATGCCCCCTTAGTTTAATGATGTTTAGCGTTCAGGGTTTAAGAATATGCTTGCTTATATTTTCGATGCTAATGCTAAATTCTACTTGTTGAAACACTAATCGTTCACAAATAAAATCATACGTGCTGAATAAACCAAAATGATGTCAATTGGCAGGCGGTGCCTCAAATGACAAATCACGGAACTGATAGGAGTGGCGAAAATATAGTTTTTCCCATCGTTAAAGGCGACGACAGACTTCTCGTCGATCTTCAGCTAATTCCAGCACTTAAGCACCCTGATCAAGATCCAAATTCAACTCATATTTCTCAAAAGGACATTCCTTTCTCAGTTCCCATGGATGTTAATCCTTCTACGGGATTCGCATGGGCAAAGAAGCAGCAGGAAGATAGTCCATATGATAAATCGCGCTGTAAATCGAGCTCAAAAAGCAATCTTTTTGGTGTGGAGGAGCCTTTATTTTCTGCTGTTAGAGCTCGAGCTTCTTCTGATTTAGAGAATGGAAGAATTGCAGAAGAGGAAGTTGATCGTCTCAAGCGCAGCGAGCATTACAAGATGGTGAAGAAAGCGATGCTGAGAAGTTGGGCTCAACTGCAACATCCAGACTCATTTGATTCCTCTTCTGCATTCCATTCCCAGGATTTCCTGAAAGGGGATGATGTTCAATCAAAAAACAGTATTTTGGTATGTGGAAAGCAATATATATATATATACAATTTTCAAACC